GCAAATGATTAAGAGGTTTTGTTTTTTATCTTGATGTAAGCAGTGTGAGACATGTTTTACTACTGTAAACATAGCCGAAACAAGATAGGCTACTCCAAAATCATTCTAAGGGGCGGTTTGGGAGCTCGGTATTAGCGCTAGTCCGCGACTAAATCCGGATATTTCCGGTATTTTAGGCTGCCGCCTCGAAAACGGGTTTGTGAGCTCGGGATCAGTAAGGCGCGCGCCTAACTTGTGCAGGGATAATCTCGTGCCTAAATTGTTGGTTTGGGAGTCAAGTAGACTTAGGCGCCAGCCTAAGAGATAGTCTCGGTGGGTTTGGGAGACCAATTTCGGGACTAAGAGATATGTTTTCGTCATAAAAATCAGTGAGTTTAGTCCCCAACTTTAGGCCTGCCAGGGGGCAGGTCTAAGTCGACATCATGCCGGTATTAGCTCATTAGCAAGTTAATTGTTTTCATATTAACTAAAAGAATGTTATATTGGAATTCGTTATTAAATTCCGAACATTTTCATTCCTCTCAAAGTATATTTGATAAAACTTTTTTTAGTTCTCTGTTGTTAAAAATAAAACGAAAATCTTGCAGAAAGCTAAATTTAACGAAAGATTATTTGGTTTTTGTTTTTACTATTAACTGCAATACAAATATGGACCCTAAATAGAATTTCTTTCAACTGAGAGTTTGGCTATAATAAGCCCCCGTAACTTAATTATAAATATTTTATTAGTAAGGAAATAATTAGCAACCACATGCATACCCCCCACTCACCCCCTACGAAAGAGTGAAGAGATAGTAAACAAAACATAAAAAACTGCAAATAGCTCACAGTCATAATCGTTATCTTTTAATTGCGTTGTGATAGAGCTCAGTTCAGTGTCATTGACCAAGTGCTAGTTACATCAAAATGGAGTACCTAGATTATTTGGAGTATAAGAAAATATATACAGTATATCAATAACCCGCCACAGAAAACCTGCAGACTAAGCGAATTTCCAAATAACCTAATAGAGCTTTCAATTAAATTTATTTAAATAACTTTAGGTTTAACAAGCACCTGAAACTACCTACGGTGTAGGTATGCTGCTACAGGGAGGGTAATAAAGTGTATTTTTTAACAAAATATTAACAGCTTTATAAAAAATAAATAAATTTGCCCAAGTTTCATAAAAATATATCCATAAACGACCACACTAGAACAGTTAACTTTTTCTCCATAAGAATCACATGGGAATTTAAAATTTACAATTTTACCAATAGTCTCTGTAGCCAATAACCGTACAAAACATTTTAAGATATTAATTTGTTTTTTATACTCTTTAAAATACTCTTTACTCTTTAAATTACTCTTTAAAATATTTTAAAGACAAAGATTTATGTTATAGGGGTTAAAATTGAGGAAAAAACTATTTTTATCCTATAAAACTCCGGGTTCCCTTGGTCTGATCATGCTGGTTCGCGAACTCATTATGGAGAATCGCGCCTAACACTTTCATGCCAAATTTTATCAAAATCAGACAAAAATTACTCAAGTTATCACGTTTATGGACGTATATATAATACATTTATATATATATATATATACAGTGTGTAAATTAAGTATGGAAACAAATCTGTATTTTTTAAACCAAAATAGATAGAAATATTTGGTTTGTGGCATTGACTGTTAACCAAGGTTCCGGAATTTTTTGCATCAGAAAAAATTTTTCACCCCCTCAGGGGGGGTAGGGGTAGGGGGTAACTTAATTGTTTTTAATAGCAACCCCTATTGAGTGACCTCTCATTTTGAAGGGTTTGTCAAAAGAAATACAATGCCGTAAACCTGAGGTCGATATCTTACCCCTAACCAGAATGGCGGCCATTTTAAATTTCGAGATGGGCAAACGAAATCCAGTGTGGATACCCATAATTTACCTTTTAAATGGGTTACATTGGGTAAGCCGAACTCCAGATACCATTATTAGATTGAAAAGTGGATGTTTTTATCGTATTCAAAATTTTGCCCCAGCCCCCAAAATAGGGGATTTTGGGGGCAGCCCCAAATTTTTAAACGCAAACCCCTATTGAGTGACCCCTCGTTTTGAAGGGTTTGTCAAGACAAAAGCAGTGGCACAAATCTTAGGTCGATATGTCATCCCTAGACGAAATGGCAGGCATTCAACATTTTTAATTGGTGAAATGGGCGCTTTTTTACCCAATCAAGTTTTTGAATGCCTGCCATTTCGTCTAGGGATGACATATCGACCTAAGATTTGTGCCACTGCTTTTGTCTTGACAAACCCTTCAAAACGAGGGGTCACTCAATAGGGGTTTGCGTTTAAAAATTTGGGGCTGCCCCCAAAATCCCCTATTTTGGGGGCTGGGGAAAAATTTTGAATACGATAAAAACATCCACTTTTCAATCTAATAATGGTATCTGGAGTTCGGCTTACCCAATGTAACCCATTTAAAAGGTAAATTATGGGTATCCACACTGGATTTCGTTTGCCCATCTCGAAATTTAAAATGGCCGCCATTCTGGTTAGGGGTAAGATATCGACCTCGGGTTTACGGCATTGTATTTCTTTTGACAAACCCTTCAAAATGAGAGGTCACTCAATAGGGGTTGCTATTTAAAAAAATTAAGTTACCCCCTACCCCTACCCCCCCTGAGGGGGTGAAAATTTTTTTCTGATGCAAAAAAGTGCGGAACCTTGGTTAACAGTCAATGCCACAAACCCAATATTTCTATCTATTTTGGTTTAAAAAATACAGATTTGTTTCCATACTTAATTTACACACTGTATATAGGCTATACATATATAAAATTTGGAACGAACAGTGTTTTTGGCCTCTAGGGACATCAAAATGGAAAGGTTTATCGGTCCCGGAACTAAGTGCTACCTATGGTAATAGATACTTCCCTAGGAAAGTTAGATAAAAGAGTGTCATGTAAAAAAAGATTTTAAATTGACAACAATTTTTTCTAAGTACTGTATTAAAAGATTTTTTTTACATTTACCTTGGCTTCACACAATCATAACCTCCGCAATTACTTTTTATTATTTTTTTTTGTCAATACCCCTATATTATACTGGGAAATTTCTGGTTATATCAAGCCAGATCTGTCCATATATAATTCCAAATCTGGCCCTATAAACCCAGATCTGGTTATATCAAGCCTGAGCCATGCGAATACTTATAAAGTTAAACGGGGCAAAGCCCGCGGGTACAGCTAGTAGTACCAAGATAAAATTGTATCCATCTTCAATAAGTGTTCATCTTTTGTTGTTGTCAACGGTAACGGGTTCTGCAATGGCCGTTGCCAACGTCAAAACCTGAATTCCCCGCGATTCCCTGTTTATCTAGCCGCGCTGCAACTTAGGCGCGACTATACTTGATCTACGACCATTTCAACTTAGGCGCGAGCTCCCAAGCCTGGTTTCTGGTCCGGGGACTAAAGTTAGGCGCGTCCAACACTAGGCGCGTACTAGCTGGGCTCGAGCTCCCAAACCGCCCCTAAAAATAACACAAGTCTGAAAAATTGTAACTTGATATCTAACTAGTAAAATTGATGTTTTAGACTGATAAATTTGGTATTTTTGTAGGTCTGATTCTATCCTCTCATTTTATCAATGCAAACCAATTGAAAGTTTCAGTATAAATCTTACAAATGTTTTATTTGTTTACACCAAAACGTATCTTTATTTGTAAAATCAATATTATAAAATAGGTAACATTTAGGTAATAGGCTTAACAATATGAATTGGCAAAGTAAAAATTATAAAACAGGCAAGTAAAGCAGCTCACTGAGATTTCCAGCAATACAGGTTTTTCTGATATATGATTGAAAATAAATATGTTTTCATCCAAAATTCATACGCTATGTATGAATAGGCCTAATACCACATCAACAAAAATTTGCATTATACAAATGTGGTAAATTGTTAATCAACTCCATTGATCTGTATGAATAGAAAAATGCCGCATTGCTTCGAATCGAGTTGCATTGAATCAAATTGAAAATCCTTTGAATCAAATCGTTGCTTCGAATCGAATTTTTTTGCTGCTCTGCATACCCCTATCTAAGACTAACTTAAAACCTCAAGAGTCCGCAGGAAGACTTAACAATATGGTCCGATATGCCAATTATTTTCTTAAGAGATTTGCTTATTTTCTTTCCTTTTTCCTTTTACTGTAGAAGTACCAATGTATATATTTTTCAAGAAAACCTTAAGACAAATAAAATCAACAAATGGGAAACAATAGGCAAACTTTCAAATTTATAAAAACAAATGTTAGCATGGTTACCAGTACTAATAAAAGGAATTAATAATACTTTAAGACTACAGAAAAACTTTTCTTAGCTCCTTCATTGAAATACTATTAAGGAAAGGGGAATTGTCTCAAAACAGGAGAAATACTTCTGCCAAGTACTACATTAACTTTAATTTGAGCCAAGTAATTGGATTTTAACATTCAAAAATAAGCTTACTAAAATTAAAATACAAGAATAAATCAGCACTGGACATTAGTTAATGAACAAAAACCAATCAGAATTTGAATATTAAAGTATAATTTGTGCTTCTTAAAATGTATTATTTAATCAGTTTTCAGGTAACTTTTTAATGAACTTTTGACAGTTCACAGGTTATTGACAAAATTATGAGACACTGGAAAAGACCATGAAACCAGTCATTTAAGTTTCCCAATATTGATGGGATGGTTCTATAGTTACATGGTGACATGTTTTACATTTAACGTTGATAGCTAAACAGGCTTTTGTTTAAACAATCTGATTATACCTTTAGAATATGTGTTTAGGCTATGTTGTTTTTTAGCATTGTTATAGGCGAATTGCACATGTAAACATAAATAATTGTTTCAACAAAATCAGATGTGGAAGCAACTGATTTACTAGCCTATAACAATGTTAATCTTGTATACAAACTCCTGAGAAGGTACAACAGGTTTAAAGGAAGGATTTTCTGGATGTTTAGGTGAGTAATTTAGTTGACAACATGAGAAAAATCTGTCTGATGTATTTTGCACAAAAGTTTACAGTTCAAGCTTAAATTTTAATGTAATCAACATATATACAATAGATAAGACAACGGAGAAATTACAGTATCGATCACATATGTATTTATTTAGGCTGATCGTGACTAATGAAACAGCTGATCCTAAATAATAAGATGAAGATCCACTTATTTAGTTGTCAGCAATGCTGAAGAGCGCTACTAAAGATGAACTGTCATAAGTTCAAAAGATGTTCTTCACAAAATGATTACATTTCACACCTCATATAGCAACTAAGTAAATAGATCTTCAACTTACAATTGAAAAGGGTGTCAAGGCTGTTCAATTTAAAGCTGATCTTAGTCACCTCACTCTAATCACCACACAGCTTAAAATATGCACCCGAGTGTGCGTCGCTGTCCCAAAGAATTTAATTGAATAACTATCAATGAATCAAATCATATGCGTTTGTATTACGTTCATAATCGATAAACCCGTTTATAACATACCTAATGTACAAGCTTTAAATAAATACACACATAAATAAATCTTACAGCCTAAGTATTCTGTAACAAAATTTGTTGGACTTTCACATTGTCACAAAACTAAATGTAATTAAAAGATTATCCATGTATTTAAATGGTTATCCATAAAAAAAGCCATAATTGAACTAATCCTTTTCTTTGACACCAATTTTTTTTTTATAAAATCATCAACAATTAATTAGAATGATGGTTTTTCTGATCAAAAAACTGATGCTACTTAGCTGACACAATCTGAGCCCTGGTGCCGACTCTAGTCCCTACTACATCCTATTTGTTCACTCTACATAATGCAATCATCATGTCTGCTTTAAATGATTTCACCATTAATTTTTACTTTTTCAATTTCACATACAGTAAAAAAATGTGACAGAAAACAATACAATTTTGAATAAATCTTGAAAATAATTAAATTTGCGTAAAGAACATGTATAAGGCACATTTAATTGTTTGGCTTACTCACATTTATTGCTCTTGCGACTCAAACAAAAACACCCTTTCTCTGCAAAAACTATCAAAATATTGTCTCCGCGGCCTACAAAATTTTGAATACAAGTGTCACATCTAAAGAAAAGATAAATTTGATCTAATTACCAAAATATTTACACGTGACTAAAATAAGGAATATACACGAACAGGCTGGGAGTTATGTGAATTTATATTAGTAAAAATTAACGATTTACGAGAGCCAGGTGTTCAGTTATAATTAATAATACTAAATTATACTTCTGCCTGGATTCTTGATTGTTTGCAGTAAAAATAAAAAGTTAAAACTGAATTTTATGTTTACCAACTTTCCACAGACAAAATTATAAGACCCGATCCAAACAGAAACTAGTTACATCAACTGCATGTCTAAAAATACTCAATCTGAATTCGATTATCAATATATTATCGATATATAATCAATATAATCAATACATTCAGTAAATAACCGATGCAATTTAAATGATACTTTGGAAATCACTAACTTTTTGTTATGTAATAACTTGTGAGACTCAGCTTTTCGTGTATCCAATTGTCTAAGAACTATTCTGAATCAGTTTTATCAACTGTAGGAACGAATCATGAAATATATTAATGATAGATCCTAAAATAATCTGACACATTATTCAGAATAATTGTCCTTGTGCAAAAACCATGACATTATAATTAGACTAAAACCTTCTCATCAATTAACACTCACTGCGTAGACTGAATTGAAATAAACACAAAATTAAGCTAATTCGACAAATCTAAGAGTCGGCACCAAACTAACCTTATTTTAGAAAATAAAGTTTAAAAATGTGAGTGAATATGTACATTTGATAACGATGACAATTATATAAAAATTATTTGTCACATAATCAACCAACCTGGGAGAAGTACCAAATGTAGGGCAATCGAACATTAACTACATTGTCTGAAGAAAAAAAGTTGATATCTAAATACGATGTATTGATTGGTATCAAAACGATAAACAGACAACATACGAATAAACAAAAGTAACACCAGTATTCAGTTTGAGTCTTGATATCACTCACACTCACTCATAGTGTCCACTCACTGACACGTTGCACACTCGCAGATACCATAATCTGGTTGGTTTCTCCTGTAACAAACAAAACTCACTGGAATATGCTTCATTTGAAAACTTTCCTCAGAACTACCAAATATAATCAATGTTAAAATAACACGGGTAGGCTAATTTGAACTTCTTTAGACACAAATGTATGAAAGGTTAAGGTTTGATAAGACAAATTCAACTGGTATGAAAACATTGTGCATTTGTGCAAAACTGAATTACATAACTCAGTTTTTTTTCTTTTGTCTTCCCTGACACTGGCAATGGTGTTTTACATTTTTCCTTAACAGTATGCTAATGTTTTTTATGGTTGGGATGAAGTCTGATTACTAGAGGGTGATTATAGAAATGTTAACTTAATTAAAAACTTCATTATCTATTTTTTTAGCATTAAGATAAATCTTTTGGTTTAAAAATGGCAGCCATTTGAATTTTTGTAACATAAATTACCAAAAGATGGCTGGTTTTATGAAAAATGCCAAGAACACCTTTTATTTATCACTTAACATTTCTTATCACACGACTCCAAGTTCAAAATGATCAAATAAAAAATAGCGGAGGAATCAAAATTTTTAGACGCAAAATAGGGAAAACTACTACAGCTTGGCCTTATTTTGCCTGGTCTATACAACTAAAAATCACGATTTCTCAGCTATTTATTATTTAATGATTTTAATCTTGATGTTGTTTGATAGGGAACTATATTTCGGCCGCTTAGAAAGCGACCTCCTCTAGCATTGGTTTAGCATTAGCGCGCAGGTCGCTTTCTAAGCGGCCGAACTATAAATGATAAATAAAAAGTGTTCTTGGACTATTTTCAAACAATTAGCCATTTTTATAAAAGCCTGTTATAAAAATTAAAATGTCCCGCGGTCGCGGCACCATCATCACGTGACCTGCGTGCCAACTTCGACGGGTCTGGCAGTCACGGTACCATTTTCAACATGTCCCATGTTCGTGGCGCCATATTCAATTTTTCTCTCTGTCACGGTGCAAATGTTAAGATACTGCGACCACGAAGACATCATCGTAAATATGTCTCACAATCGTGGAGACATCATCATTGTTACCAGCTACACTGACGACATTTTTCCTCGATCGCGGAAACGTCATCACCGTCACTTGCAATGCGGCGAAATCACAGAAAAAAATCCTGAATCAAATGTAATCCTGTTCCAATGATCGGAAATATACCTAACACAAAAATTTCCTGAAATTTTGAATCCCGTCTAGATCTTGAATTCGGAGAGTAAGATCACTCTCAACCTACAGCCAAAATTCTTACTTTTTCACGCCCCTTTCAAAATCCTCGACTTTCTTGGGATTCCCGACATAGCAGAACCTTTTATCAAACACTAATAAAATCTTAGAAAACATTAGTAAAAGAATGGGCTAATTTATTTTTCCATTCTTTTCATTAATTTTTGAAATAAGCATATATTCTTTACTTACACATGGAAATAACCCTACACACAAAGACTACAATGTTTTCAACTAGTTAACAAATTGTTACTTACTCACAAGAAATATTCATGCACAATATCATAGAATACCTAGCAAAATTCAACATGCTTTAGCTTAATACAACTGTTATCAAGGTTTGGATGAAATCTTGAACGAACTTATAAATAAATTACCTGGTTTTTTAATGGCATCCTTTACTTTCAAATTTAAAATACATAATATCCTACAAACATTCTTCCTGACTTTTTCTAACACATCTAGCAACTTTCCTCTTGAAGTCCATGTAATTCTCTCTCCATTCTTTCTGTAATAGTAAAATTCAAAAGTGAGAATAACCGTGTCAGAGCTAGCTTAGGTTATAAATAAATCAGCTTTAAGTAAATAGATCAGGATCATAAATATAAAAATTACTAAAGTAAACCCTCACTAACTGGACACTCAGTAACTTGACAACTCGACACTCAACAGCTGACAGGAAGCACGCAAAAAAACCAATTCTTTCAGATCATCTTATATATTAAAACGTGGGAGGGTTTTTTATCCCAGGATTCTGAATCTACCACTTAAAAGGATTGTCATGATTCTTCTGTTGAAAGAAAGATATTTTTGAGAGGAAGAGAAAGTCTAGTCATAATTTTAATGGTTTAATTAACAGCTGGTTTTAAACAGTCATTGAAATGTTTACAAGTTGTTTACAAAAATACAAAAAATATTGATAGTCGTTATTAGATATTCTTACAAAATCTCTAAATTGAGTTTTATTTTTAGTTTTTTTTCCTACCCTTAAGGAATTTTGTTTTCTGGAAATGCATAGTTTTGAACCATCTATCGCTAACAATTACGTATGACTAAGTTTTGTAGTAAATATAATCCGTGTGAATGTAGGTCTGTGCTATTAAATTTTGTACTCATAATGGGAAATGTATGTAAGTAGTAAAATACCATTAAATTTCATTTCTTTTTGTTTCCTGAATCACTGATGATATATTCTAAATAAGGTTATACTACCTTGATTGCCAAGTGATTCTTGTCATCCAATGAACAGGATTGCGTGTTTCAACGACAAAGCGTCATTCATTGTCAGGCATACTAAATCGTTAAAAGAATACAGGCCAAGGGAGGAGGGTGGATTGTATCCACAAGACCAACAAGGGAAAATAAGGAGCTATGCAAGGGGCGCAGTCTAAACAAGCAAGTGGAACAACAACACCCTCAGGATACCAGACTCAAAATAAATAGGGGCAATAATAAAGTTGACAAATGTCACGATTGAAAAAATATATATCAGAAGCATGTCAGTCCCAGGAAAGTAGCAACGTTTTCAATCCATTCTGGAGACATTTCTCCTTCATGGTTAACAACGAGCTGAGGAGGTCCTCCTATCGGGGTTCAATACTTAACTCTTCTCAACAAGAAACATCACTTGAAAATTAGATCAAGGCCCCACTAGAAAAAACAGGCCATGCTGCAGCATGGGCAGTGCAACACTATGGCACAGTGGTGGATAGTTGTACTAAACTCTTACCATTAAAATCTTACAAACAGCCAGCTTGTTTATTTACCTAAAACATATGGGAATGGTGCTGGCAATGAATTTATCAACGAAATCTATCCACTAGTGTGACGTCATGGATCCTGCGGCATGGCCTGTTTTTCTAGTGGGGCCTTGATTAGATACACAAAAACCAAGAAAACGTGTAAAGAACAAAATCTCCTAATAGTAACAACTTTGTGTTAAAATGAAAATTAAATGAAATGTGTTTCTTGTCTTGTAAATTTATACAGACTATTGACAATGTCATAAAACAGCTAAAATTAGCATAGTCAGTTAATGAATGTTTTGTGTCCCAAAACGCCACATGTCAATAATGTGCGTTTTGTGTCCACATGTCAATCTTGTATGTGTCAGGGCTATCGGAAAAAATCATAAGGGTTGCTAGGAAATTTAATGTGCAAACAGCGCTTAGGACACAAAACACACTTAGGCAGAGTCTCGTCAAAACAAAACCCAAAAATGACACTCAGGGATACTAAAAACTCTGTTTACAAAATAAATTGTAATGATTGTTACAGGCCTTACTATGGCGAGACAAAAAGACCATTGAACACTAGAATCAAAGAACACCAAAAAAGATTTTATGGAAAAATCTAAGATCGCTCATCATTGCTGGTCCGAAAATCATCGTATGAAGAGACCTTTATTGAGACCTTTCTTTGTAGCGTACCAAATGCCTTGAAAGGTGACATCATGCATGGGATTTTGGAACTGACAATGTACATAGGAGTTAAAATTTTTGAAGCTTCTAGCTTTTAATCTATTACAATAGTAGTGTAGAGTATTGAATAATCTTGCGCTATCTTCATTATATTATTTCATCTATACTGAATTTGTAATTTACTCTTAAAAAAGCCTTGGCAAACAGTGAAACACTGAGATCCTCTATTGAAATTTTCAGTAGCCTAATTATGTAAAGATAGGCCTAGATATGATTAAAAGGATTTACATGTATACAAGACAGATTTGTTTTCACAGAAAAACATAGTAACATACTAAAAAGAGTTGTCTACTCAAAATTTAAAGAGACCAATTGCACTACCATGTACTAATATGTAAATAGGCCTACTCACAGCGGCATCCACATTGGCAGGACTTTCATCATTGGGATCAGCCAGCATTGATATTACTGAGATTAGGATTGTCTCTACGGTATGAACTGGAAGCCATCTTTCTGAGGCCTTCTCGTAGCCCCACTTGTCATCGCCAGGTTCATGTAATATTGATATGCATACGTCGCCATTTTTTTCAACTGGAAAAATAATTAGTATTAAAACACAGAATAATTCAGAGTAAAGAGTCACATCACTACTTGTAATCCTACTTGTATTTAAACTACCTACAACCTTTAACTTCCTTCACTCACTACATTCAACATTAAACAACTGAAAAAAATCCTAGAGAAAACCACCAAGTTGTCGATGAAATTACCACAATATTCATTTGTAGCCTATGGTCATTGAGATATTTAATCACCAATATAATAAAATACCCCCGCCGCAGCATACCTGCATACTAAGCGAATTTCCATTTGTCTGAGTTGATTTTTAAATAAATCTACTTAAATAACATAAGACTGAGTACCTAGGTTTGCTGCTACAAGGAAACTAATAAAATGTATTTTTTAGTAAAATATTCATAGCTTAGTATAAAACAAATACATTTGCTAAGTTTGATCAAAATATATCCATAAACTAAACAAGCAAACAACAACATTTTAAAATATTCTCCATAAGAATAACATGGGAATTTTAAATTTACAATTTTTTGAATTTTCTCCGTTACCAATAACCGTACAAAAACACTTTAATATACTAAATTAGTTGTTTTTTTAAGCTCTTTAAAAAGGTCTAGAGAGAAATTGGGAAATTTTGTATTTTGAGGGTCAAAAATGAGAAAAACCATTTTTTACCCCATAAAACCCCCCGTAAAACCCCGTTCCCATGGTCCGATCATGCTGCTTCGCGAACTCATTCAAGTTTATCCAGCGTTACACCTTTAAACTAAATTTCATCAAAATCGGACAAAAATTACTCAAGTTATCGCGTTCACGGACGTATATATATATATATATATATATAAGTCTATATATATATATATATATATATATACATATATAAAAATTTGAACGAATGGTGTTTTTAGCCTCTGGGGACATCAAAATGAAAAAGTAAATCGGTCCCGGGCCTGGGTCTTACCGTGCCACCTACGGTAATAGCTACTTCCCTATAGGGAAATTCGCTAAAAGAAGGTTTTTTTTGGTTGAAGTATATTTTACATTAATATATAAGGTGAGCCCTCCATTCTAGACTAATCGTAAAGCAAGAGCAATCAAACAGCCAATAACTGACTAAATGAGGACTTGGTACTGACGAATAAGTCTTTCTTCTATTTGGCTACATAGATATTTTAGGCTAGGCAAAAGTAAATCTTCACAAAAAGAATAATAAGTACAAGGTTAGTTTTTGGTATTATTTTGAGTGTTGATATATTATCTCAACTGCATTTTATTCATAGGTATGTCTAATGCGTTAATCAGGTATTAAAACAACCGATTCTTTTCTGATCTATTGTTATGGAATATGCAGTACCGCTGAATTATTACAATTATTATACCGATTATCATTACAATATTTGTTTGTTGATTCTATTAATGATAAAGGACATCCTCCGGGTATCCGAAACCAAACCAATTTGTTAGAACATCCACAAATCTCTAGAATTTTCAGTAAAATAATTTTACTGTTATTTGCACCTCTTTCTCCGACATAGAAACCACACTACAAAACTTATATGTTATCATGCTTTATTCAGTTGACAATATTTGATTTGATATAGGCCAGTAACCATATTATAGAACCTACTTATCATGCTAACACTGTACCAGCAAGCGGACGACAACCATATCGATGCAAATAAAATGGAAGTTAATTAATTATATGGATCTCGCAGAAAGCTGGGGTGTGGAAAATTAATCACAGTTTAAGTTTTTATTTGACTTATAATTTGAAATATCATCATATGAAGCTGAAAATCACTCAAGTTTGTTGCTAAATCATGACTATAGGTTACCTCATATCAGGGTTGTTTTTTTTTAAATGGGTCTGGACTTCACATCCGGCCGGTACGGGTCGCTCACCTTCTAAGTAATTTTGAGTGTTTTTTATGTTAAACGTTAGTGTCTGTTCAATGTCCGTGATAAGTATTATTCTGTGTTTAAAAACTATGACGACCTTCAAATGAAATGACAACAATACTTGTACGCCTGAAGATGACACCACGGAGTTGAAACCAGGTGCAACATAAAGCAACGAATTGGATTTCTTAAATGCAGGTATTTAAACCACTTAAGAGTAAAAATTTAGTCCTCTACTAGTTTTATGAAGGTTTTTGCCTCACTTGGGCACCTATTGAGTGTAAAAACATGTACCGGTAATGAAACTTATATTTTACCTTGTTCTTAAACCTTAAAAAGAAAATTACCACAAGTAGCCTGTAACTTATGACTATTCAGGGAGGTAGGCATATTTTAAATTTTTTTTTATAATGGGAATAACTTCTAAACACATTTAAAATTTAACGAAATAATTATCTGTAGGCTAGCTTAAGTATAAACAATACTTACTATTTGGATGCCATATTTCTGTCATGAATTTCATTTTGGGTGGTCTTAGTGGGTATTCTTTAGGGAATAGTAAATGTGCTTTAAAGAACCCACCCTCGCTGGAAAAAAAGAAATATATTAGTAGGACATTTTAAAGGCAGAAATAAAAAAAATCTTAATCGAATATAGTATAATTGGCTACAAACTATGTTTTGTATACAAATTTTGAGCTGACCTGGGCAGTTTTTAAATCTTGAAATGCAACACTTCAAGGTGACTTAGTTTTGATTGGCAACAGTTTCACCAGAAATCTTTGAATAAAAGAGCAGCAGGAGTTAGAGGCTGAACAGTCATAAAATTTAATTGGTCCTGGTTAACTTAGTAAAGTGAAGCAAGTGGAGTGCAACTAATGTTCACAATGAAAGTAACCAGACTTGCCTTGAAGTAATTAGCATATGTTCAGAGAACTAAGACTGAAATATAACCGAGTACTAGGTTATAGAGGGATGCAGGAAAATATGGCAGCTATTGTGGAGCAAACATGATTTGTAAACATTTAATGAGAAAATATATTGCTCTATCAATAATACTCTTATAATACAACACATTGATCAAGTAAAAAAAAAGAGTTAGAGCACAGTGCAAAACTGAACCCCTCAATCAAGGACTGTTTCAAAGATTAACCAGTATTATGATTTAAAACTGAAAACAAATTACGTGTTGTTGAATATAGTCCAACAATAAATTACATTTTATTATAAATTTAGAACTTACTACAAGGTGTCTGGTGGTCCAATAATAAGAACTTCCCATCTATAAATGTCATTATCATCTATTAGCCCAGCCGAGAACCCTTCAACTGGGTTTTTGTTGAGTTCTGAAAAAGAAAATAGGTACACTTGTAGATGACAAAGTTTTCACAAACATTTCTTCACAGTAATAGGCTACACATTTTAGCCTAGAGGTACTTTGTGTTCATATTAAATATGTTGACCCATATTTCGGCTTATATAGAGATTGTCATATACTTCAGAGCTTCATTCAAGGATTCATCTCCCAATGTTGTATAAGGTAACGTAATGTGTAGAATGTACAATTTACTAAGAAATATAGGCCCACAACATTAATCATTAACAATAGAAGCAGCTCAACAGGCTTAAAATATGTCAAGTGAATGTAATGTAACATGAACATTACAAACACAGCAGTTTTAATTGAATTCAAATAACATATTTCACTAACAAGTAATCAATTTTCCATATTAAATTAAAATAGTCTTTGAGCAACGCTTACTAATATGCGCATATACACAAATTTGGGAACAGTGGCTCCGGGTCTACGTTTTACCATAGGTCTTACCACCTACTGTAGAGTAATAGCTTATTCCCTACATGGGAAAATGTTTTGTTTCAGTTTAAATATTCAACATTCTTAGTCACTTGTAGCTTTAAATGAGTTTTAACTGCGCAGAGACTTACTTCTATTACCAATTAAAAAAATAAGCAAAACCCTCTAGCTCACTAGGATAACAGGGGGTGGGGGTTTAGGTGGGGGAGAACCACAAGGTGGGTAATCGACTTCCGTACGAGAGAAAAGAGTAATTTATGGGAATATGGAGTAATTATTTTTGGAAAATTAAATAGGAAAATGTAGTCGATCAATATCAACAGAAATTCTGATGGGGTTTTGCCACCCCAATTTGAGTCAGCCCAAACTGACCTGTAGGGCAATTAGGCACGTCGCAAACACTGGGTCCGCTCAGTTCAGTCCGCTCAGCTCTGCTCAGGTAAGTCAGCTCAGTTCCGGCAGTTTTCCCACACACTGTGTCAATTCGGTCCGCTCAGTTCAGCCGTTTTTGAGCACCAAACACAAGTGGACGACAGACACTGTCATTGTTCGCAAGTAAATTATTAATTTGTGCCGGGGTTTCCGTTAGTGTGATTATGAGTTCCAACAGTAGTGACGAAGAAATCGCTGTTATAGCATTGGCACTAGCTGCAGAAGAGGATGATCACCTCTTTCATTGTAATATTGTAGTACCGTAATCCTTGTGTGACAGGTCGTACAACAATGGATATGTTTGTACAACAAAAATAAGTCATTCATCAGACCTCATCTTTAATAAATAATCACAGTAGGCCTACTACGAACATGTGTCAGACCACCCAAATTTAGTTGCACAACACTGGCTGATGTACTCTACACATCACGGTGCCTCCGGTCCTTCCGTCCTTTCTGTCCTAATCGCTCCCTAACCGAAAAGTGGCTGAGACAGACGGAGCAGACTGAACTGAGCGGACTCAGTGTGGGACGTGCCTTACCGGCTGGTCCCGCACGACCCTTTTACAATCCTATTACCGTAAACATTGTCCGTTTTAGATAGGACAAAAGCAGAAATGTTTATTAAATTTATGCTATTACTGTAAACGAGTAAATAAATATATCAGATAATAATTTTATTAATGTTAATATTGAACTAGGGCGTCCCCAGAAGCGTCGCTAACAGGATTGTAAAAGGGTTGGGCGGGACCAGTCGGTAATTGCCCTGCAGGTCAGTTTGGGCTGCCTCAAGTTAGGGTGGCGAGGACTATAAGAGCATTGTTATTGGTATTTGGTAAAAACATTTTTACTGAAGTGGAGCATTCTGATTACATTGTCTATGACCATCTTTTTGTTGTTTTTAATATTCAGTTTGGGGGTTGAAAAGACCAACTTCGCGAAGACTGCAATAACTCAATAATTGTTATTGTTATTTATTCAATCATAGCCTTTATTTGTTGTTAATAATTTTAGTTTGATGGTTCACCTACTGTACCTTTTTGTAAAATGGTGTTACCGTCGAAATGAATTGAATTGAATTGAACTCGAAATGCTGAATGTAATTCATTACAACTGCAATAATTAAGTCTGTATGTGCTATTCTGGCATTATTGTGTTTCTTGTAACACATAGAGTGCTAAGCTTAGTGGTGAAAGTGCTTTCAGAAGATGTGGGAATATAATGTTTTTCGCTGGACGAAGAAAATCTTATGTTTCGTTAGCCTGCATTGATTGTGTGGGTACTTTTAGTCAAAGTTAGGTTGGTTTCTTTATAATTCATTTTGATTGCCCCAGGATTGCGTTTTAAGACTAATAATGGCTAAACGTACCTTGTCGGACAAGAAAATTAGATGTACTGTAGTGTCGTTTTAAACTCTGCCATCATCAGGCTAACAAAGGGATAGCCTACACTTCTTGAGGGGTGTCGTCAGAATAAGTTATAAACAATTTACACCTATCACAACAACGATTACAGCTCGTAACATCTAAGCTGGCACTTGGCCTAGCACGAGCAGAGTAGGCGGGAGGAGGGTGGAAGTAGGGAAAACACCGGGCTGCAAAAACTACCGCTGGCTCACGGGGTTGACTCCCAGTGTATTATGTACTTGAGCGCCTTCACGTGAGTCGCGAGGGCAGTTGACTTGACCCGCATGACGAGACATAATTTTTTTTAACTAGATCCTAGTAGCCATCGGCCAAGTACCAGCTTAGATGTCGTACAAGCTGTACAGATAGGCCTATCAATTACACGCGTGTAGGGTGACCCGGGGCAATTCTGGCATACAGATGTGAAACTTAACTTTAACCCTCGAGCGGGCACTTGTGGAGTTTTCCTCCGCACTTGTAGTTTTTGTTAAAATAATTATGCATAATGGGTGTCGGCAGTCCGTGTCCGGCTCCATACTTCACGCCCTCATTCCGGGAATGCCCCTAAGTTATTTTCAACCCCAAATTCCTCCTTATTTTGTTGTCAGTTGCAATTCAGTGACACGGTGTCAGTTTGCGGAGGTTTTCTCCGCGTGCGCCCTATCACGTAGTTTATTTCCTCATGCGCTCTTCTGTATTTGACTGTTTTAGTTGTGTCTGAAGTATATAACTATTTGGTGTTCCTGTTTTATATTAGACTGATGCCACTATGGATTTATTAGAAAAGGATAAATTACGAGGATTGCTTGATAGTGTCGAAAGGGATGAAAGAATAGAAGAAATACAACCAAAACAAGATTTTGATTAGGGTATTACTCATTTAGTTGAGACTTCATTTATGTACTTTAATTTATATTAGGCCTATAGGCTATATTATTTGTTAATGTATAGTATTAATTGTTTAGCCTACACATATCCAAACTTGATGATTTATATTTTATTATTTATTTAATTATATTATTATTTTGTTTTTAGACACATAAAATTTGTCAAACTGTGTGTAGGCTATGTAAAATACATACAAAAATATAATCATGTTTAAACGTAGGCCTATTATTTTATTTATAATTATTATAAAAATATATTTTGTTTGCATATACAAGGGTGTCCATAAAAATCATTTCAGGACTTTGGGAAATGAATCCTCATACTAAAAGGAAGAAAAAAGGTTATGAGAAGGTATGTCCCAAAAATAAAACAAAACAATTTTTATCTGTGAAGTTTTTCATTCGATGATTATGAAATTATGCATAAATAAGGCATTATAAAAATAAGGCCAAGTTAGTTCGGGGAACACTTAATTTCATCTGATCTCACAACTAAAAACTTTCTATATTAGTTATTTGTCGTTCGATTGTTTCGATCTTGATATTGTTTGATAGGGAATTAAAAATGCTAAAAAAAAAATATTCTCGACATTTTTTCAGAGTACTAGCAGTTTTTTAGTTATTTAAGTTATAAAAATTCAAACGGCCGCCATTTAGAAATTTACAACTTAATTATTATTTCTATAGTAGGTCTTGTGTATGTTAACATGCTTAGGTACTAAATTTCATAATCATCAAATGAAAAACTTCACACAGATAAAATATTTTTGTAGAAAACAAAATGGTGGATACCTGGGTAAATATGAATTTTTGGACATACCTCCACATAAAATATTTTTCTTCCTGTTAGTATGAGGATTCATTACCTTAAGTCCATGAAAAGTTTTTTATGGTCACCCTGTATATGTATAATCACATACAGTACCATATACATATATGTATGTAACACATACCGTATATGTATAATCGCATTATTGGGGAACAAAACTCCGCACGCGCCCTCTCTCGTAACACCAACAGTGATAACTTTATTCTACCAAATTGCTCAATATGTTTATTTGAAATATCACTCATATTTACTTGAACAAATAATGTTATCAACAATAAAATTAGATTCCTGATTAGGTTATTCAACATTTACATACAATATTGCGTTATAACAATAAGTGAAATAGGTAGACAAGAACATGGTCCGTTTAACCATTATAAGTCATAGTTTCTGAATTAATTCCTATTGGTTTTGTGATTGTTGTACAGTATTGTTATGAGAGTACGTCAGTCTAAGTTAACGTTAGAACCTTAACCGAACCGGTTAGGTTATTTACCAGTTATTTTTTTGGCCGAGTTTCCTTTTCCCCTAGACCAATAGGCATAGACCCCTAGACCAATAGAGATTAAATTAATTCTTACATATTTAACGTATTCACGTTTTAGTTTTACGACAAAGTAATTATTGATTTATATGAAGATGAATAACAGTATGAAAATGGATGGACCTAGTATATTTTTTTTGCTGAATAATATGAAGTTGGCAATGGCATTGGCAAATCACATGCACATCATCTTAATAATACGATTCCACCAAAAAACACTCTAAGCTAACCTCAATGTTGTATAACAAGCTGTAAAGTATCACCGTTGAAGATTGTTTTAACGATAAAAGTGCCTGTTCAACAGATTGGGCACAGATGGGCGTTATTTGAATATGTCCCGGTACCGATGGCATGGAAGGGACTCACCTGTTCTATGGCACTGAGCCCTACTCTTGTGGCACTGGCGGGTACCATGGTTCGTACTATCTCGGG